TACTTGTTGAAGAAGATGAACATCAAATTACAAAGTGCCTGTAAGACTGTAAGACATACACTACATTTTTTTAAACTTAAACTTTAAATGGATTTTTCCTTTCAAAGTTTCATGTCGTGTATGCACTGTATTTTGGTCATATCCACTCCTTATGCCCCTTTAATTTTTTTCACTGAATTTTTGTGCATTTCAAACACTACATCTTAATCATATTTGGATCCCCTCTCCCATCTGCATCACCCACAGCCCCCCCCACCACCCAGATTTCATGCATTCTGTCAAATATGTTAAGACTTATCGCCTAGCAAGTCAAGTTAGTGTACCCAGCTGTCTTTCGGTGTGAGGGTGTGAGTTCATCCACTGGAGCCTGTCCAGCGTCACTCCCTTAAAGAAGACCAGCTCCCCCTCACCCAGCAGTGATCAGTTACCAATAGCCCCTCAGCAAAGGCTGAGGCTTCTTACCCATTTCCTCCTTGCTATGCTGGATTTTTGGCTGATTGATTTTGCATGGGTTTTATGCATGATGTCACCATTGCTGTAATAATTGTACATAGAGTTTAAAACTCGATTTAGAAGGGAAGTGAGGAGAGCCTGACTTCATAAATAAAATGGCGAAGGGATCTTTGTCAGCCTAATGAGATGGCTAGTCTACCCATTAGTACTAAGTTGCTAATTTATTAAAATTGTTTTTTAAGTGTTCCTACTTTGGAAGCTGAGGGCAGGTGACAGATTCAAGGTTTTCCAAATTTCCGTTACTTTCCATTCCAAAAACACTGCAATGTGTGGCAAAGCACTGCCAATCTTCCCACGCCGGACTGCCGTCCTTCTTCCTTTGAAGTCTTACTGCTGTTGGCTGAGGACGAGAGAATCGAATGACGATTTGAAATACCTGGGAATGGACGTGTTCATTAGTGCAGTGGGTGTTTAAGTTGCACACATTGCTAGAAATCAAAACACTGACATGTTAGATTTAAAAACAACGGTTCACTTCCTCATAATTATTCTGATTAACCGTTATTGTGCATTGGAAATATCAGACATAGAATAAAAGCAACACATTCTATCATTATATATTTGTTCTTAACCTCAAGGATTTTATAAACTACACTGAACTTGGTATGTTTGTTCTAAAGACAGGAACAAAGAAAATGGATACTGCAAAACTCATATTGTAGATGTTCTTTAGCAGTTTACTTATAATAAGCATTTGTCTTTATTAATTTTTGCTCTTAATAAAAGAATGTTCCAATATTTTATAAATATCATTTTGATATAAATCTCTAAAAGTGGAGCATTGGTCACCCTCTTTCAGATAGTTTTACTTTGGGATTTACAACTTTAGTGAGGCAATGTTAATAACCTGATTCACTTTTTGCTACGTAGTGGGTGGGTTGCATTCATTGTGTATTTAAATAAATACGTCTGAAGTGTTGTTACAGGTACCTGTGAACATGACCTCTTTGGAAACAGTATCTTTAAAAGATCTAATTAGGTTAAGAGTCTTAAGATGAGATCATTCTCTACTTGAGGGCATTTTAAGAGAAAGAAGAGGGAAAAGTAAGGTGTCTAGACAAACAAAGAAGGAGGCTCTGTGTTCATGGAAACAGAGCTTGGAGTTACAGGACCCTGAACTAATTAGCACAAGTCACCACAAGCTGAAAGAGGTAAACAAGACTTCGGTCCCTGTCCCCAGAGTCTCTGAGGGAGTGCATCTTTGCCAACACCAGGATTTCACATTTCTAGCCATCAGGACAGTGAGAGAAAATACATTTCTGCTGCTTTGAGACATCAACTTTGAAGTCGTCCACTGCAGCGGCCATAGAATCACACCCCATTGTTTCTGATTACCTGATACTGTCCATTTTCTAAGTCTCCTGAAATAATCACTCCTCCATGGAGCTGGGTGACATTTGTAAACACTTGGGAAACCCAGGAGGTATCAACATCATCATCATTGATGAAGGAGAGAGGATGTGCTTCAGGATTCAGCCTTGACGCTCGGTGATTGGACCTCTCTTGTGCGTCATTGGGAATGCAGAATCGCTGATCCAGGGGGGGCACATGAGGGGGACTGCCCGGGCAGCAGCAACGTGATGGAACATGCAAGTGACGCAGATCTCCAGAAAAGAGCTCCAGAATCTCCCTGGAATGGTCAAGAAGGGAGAGGACGGAAATGTAGCTTCAGAAGAACCAAACTTGTAAGAACTCTTGCCAACAAACACCCTCTTTAGGATTGGAGAAGTAACCACTTAGCTCTAAAAACTCATTCTTGGACAAACAAATACGCACAATCTAAAATGTTATGATGGTTCATTGTCAACTTGACAGAATCTGGAATTACCCAGGAGGCAAGCTTCCAGGTCACATCCTTGAAGGATTATCTAGATTAACCTTGTCCTCTGGGGATGTCTGTAAATGTTATCTTGATGACATTCACTGATGTGGGAAGACCCACCTTGATTGTGAGGAGGGAGGAAGGGGGGGGGGAGACAGCAGTTTCAGTAAGTACAACCCTTTGCTCTTTATCAAGGTACTTATTGAACTTTAATATTTCACTGATTCTACTTGTGGTGATGTAGAAGGTTCATATACTCAGATTTTAAACTGGCTTACAGCGTGATTGAGAAATGAAATACCGAATACTGAGATATATAGATGCCGTCTCCAGTTTATCCCTGGGACCACGTAAGAAATCAGGTATCAATTTATTTGCTTCTCTTTTGGATGAAGGGACTGAGGCCAGGGTCATTTGTCAGTGGTTTTCCTGTGACTCATCTGTGAGAGTCTGGCTTCCTGAAATGCTTCAATGGCTTCAAACTGTATGCCAGCTGCCAACAGTCAGGCATGGATGCCAGCAGCAGGCATATAGATTCAATTTTTCCATTAAGAGGAAAGCACCTGCTATGGACAAGCATGAGTCACTCCCTTTGCCATCCTTCCCGTCACACCTTTCCAGACATTTCAGACAGGCCAACACCAATAACCCAGGTCTGACTGCAGAGAGCTGGCTTCCTCTCAGAATCCAGTGAGGAGATGGAGGGGTTGGGTGGCTTTTCATTCACTAAGCTACATAAAGTGACCCCTTTAAATCTCATTCATGGTTTTCCGTTGACATCAGCTTTTGAATGTGATCCAAAGTCAATATCTGGTATGAAATCTTTGCTCAAGCCAGGAAAGACTTCATTCCAAAGATTCCAGCTACTCTGTTCCCCATCATTATAGACAAAGGTGATCTGAAAGACAGTAGGAAGGGACTGTCCCTCTGCCTTCAGTGCTTTGAATTCCTCATTCAGGCATCTCCTAACCTGACGGCACAGGCTGATCACGGGTCTAACACAGGCTTACAGCACTCTCTCAAGAGCTCTGTTTCTCAAGTCTACAAGAACGAGCCCCGGCATATGGAAATTCAACACACTAATCTATGGCACTCTTAAGATGTAAACATTCTTCTTTCAAAAACCCAGGGCTGGAGATATGGTTCAGTGGTTAAGAGCCCTGGCTGCTCTTTCAAAGGACCTGGGTTTGGTTCCCACCACCCCACATGGCAGCTAACAATAGTCTGTAGCTCCACTTCCAGGGGATCTGATGCCCTCTTCTGACCTCTTTAGGCATTGCACGCACGAGTGCAGGCAAAACACTCTCACATAAAATTGGTCGGGCATGGTGGTGCTTGCCTTTAATCCCAGCACTCTGAAGGCAAAGGCAGGAGGATCTCTGTGAGTTCGAGGCCAGCCTGGTCTCCATAGTGAATCCAGGACAGCTGGGGCTACAGGGAGACCCTGTCTCAAAAAAGACCAAAAAAAAAAAAAAATTAATTAAAAAACAAGGGACCAGGGAGTGGCTCAGCAGGTAAAAAGAACTTGCTGCACAGAATGATGAGGTGAGTTCAGATTCCCAGAGCTCATGTGAAGGTCAGATACGGCAGTGGTGATGTATGTCTGTTATCCTAGCACGCCTATCATCAGGTGCAGAAGGAAGATACACAGAACTCCCCAGAGGTCCATGGGACAGCTAGTCTGGAGCGAGCTACACAGAGGCAGAAACAGGAGAGACTCTGTCTTCTGACTTCCACATGCTCACCTTCCACAGGGACACATACATACATGCTGTACGCATGCATGTGTGCAAAAAAAATTATATTTTTAAAAGGAGAAAAGATCAATTCGTCCAACCAACTGTATACTATTAGGATCAAATCACAAGTGGGAACCTTCAGAGATTATTGCCATCAGAAATGCATTGGCATATTTCTGAATAGGTTGGAAACCAGTTAACAAAGTTTTCCTCCTATACTCAAAATAAATACTTGATAAGCACTCATTACTTTTTGCACACTAGAAAGATAAAATGTTTAGCAATACTTCAAATATTCACTTGTCTCAGTCACTTGGGACTTGCTCATATGTCAAAATAATAACTCATTTTTATTGCTTCATATTCTCTAATAATAAAAACAATTTTCAAAGGGACATATAGCCATTTAAGTATTAAAAGCTACTTCATATAGAATTTTAGAAAATATTTTATTTTTATTCTTCGTATATGAGTGTATTGCCTGCATATATGTAAGTGTACCTGTACTATGCAGTGCCCTCAGAAGTCAGAAGAGAGTGTTTGAGCCCCTGGAACTGGAGTTATGGGCAGTTGTTGGCTACCATGTGAGTGTTGAGATTTGGACCAGCCAGTACTCTTAACCACTGATTCACCTCTCCAGTCCCTGAATTTTTAAAGAAATATATTTCAATTTCTGTACAATGTACACAACTTGAATTTTCTTAGAGAAAATCCTTTGTGAGTAATTTGATCAACCTCATAAGGAGTTACTGATAGAAAGCCAAAGTAAGCACAGCTAACTATAAACCAGGTTATGTTTGCTAATTGTTGTATGGTGACAAAAATGCTATAATCTCCACGGAATTCTTGTGTAAGTGAATTACATTTAACCTTATACATCTTAAGCTTTATCATACCACATCTGCTTACCTGTTGGTAAGTGCCACATTGTACAATCGAAAATCTTTCATTCTTCCAACATACTGCTCTAACCCTGAAAAATATGCATATGAAAAACCCAGTTTACTAAGAAATTAAGAGAAAATTATTCAGCTGATATTCCTTTAAGACTAAGAAGTTTTGACATGTTGCTATCACCAACCTTTCCAATTCTCAAAGATTTTTATTTTCTAACTCTATGCTATGAACAATAAGAATGCTATTTAGCTCCACAGCTACTTGAAGACTAGAGTCAAAGTCAGTGCTTTGTCCTGCTTGTTTCCTGAGCTTATTTGCTTTCCTTCCGAACTTCTCTCTCTCTTATAAACCTATAAATCTATCATCTCATCAGCCCTAAATGTGATTGTCATCTGCTTTAAATAACACTTTCCATAATATTTGCTCTGTCAGTAGGAAAACTGCCCAGTCTCACATTCCATGAATTCCAGTTCAAACTCCAGAGTGTGGGTTCAAACTAAAATTAATGGCTAATCTAAAAAAAAGTTTCAAAAAATGAATGTAAGATCTGCTATGCGCAAATTGTGAACTACCCACATATTTTGAGTTTGGTTTGGTCTCTATCATCATCTCCTAAGAATTCTTCTAAGGCCACTAGGTTCAAAGACCAATCCGGAATGTCATAAATCACTTTCAACTTCAGGTAGATAATAACCTCAATAGACAGGATATTGCTAATTTGTTTAGCAAATACTTAGCATTTATTTACTAAGGCTCAAGAGGTCTGAACCAAAAGGAAAGAAAGGGGCAGAGAATATAGCTTAGCAGGTAAAAGTGCTTTCGATGCAAGCCTGAAAACCTGGCGTTGACCCTTGAACACATGTTAAAAGCTGGATACAGCGTCGTG